TCTGCAGTACCAGGGCTGGCCAGCGGGTGTTCCCAGCAATCAGAGACTCAACTTTGCAGCCAGCTAACACCTGTAACTGATTATGCTGGGGTATTTAAGGGATGGCCAGACCCACAGACTCTGCCTTGGTGTGTGTTTGTCCTGGGCCCTGCATCCTGTTTCTGTCCTGCATCCTGTTTCTGAACCGCTGCTGACTTCTCCTGCTCTGATCCCGGCTCGCTCCTGACCATCCCTCTGTCTGACCCTCTGTACCACGCTGCTTGCTACCTGTTCTGATCCCTGGCTTGTGACCCTGACCAATCTCCGCTTGCTCCCCCTGTACCTACCTGCCCTATTGATATTGACCCGGCCTGCCTGACGACGCTTGCTTGTATGTACTGTTATCTGTGGGTGGTTGGTTTGGTTTGTTTGCACTGTATTATGTTTTAGTATTGCACTGCGTTTATGTTAGTATTGTTAGTGTTAATAAATTATATTGTTTATAAATATCTGAGGTCTGCGTTTCCCTGCGTCAGTCACACATCTCTGGTCACACCTGGGAGCCCTGACAGTCACACTCCAAACTCCACTATGGTGAAGACCAAAGAGCTGTCGAAGGACACCAGAAACAAAATTGTAGACCTGCACCAGGCTGGGAAGACTGAATCTGCAATAGGCAAGCAGCTTGGTGTGAACAAATCAACTGTGGGAGCAATAATTAGAAAATGGAAGACATACAAGACCACTGATAATCTCCCTCGATCTGGGGCTCCACGCAAGATCTCACCCCGTGGGGTCAAAATGATCACAAGAACGGTGAGCAAAAATCCCAGGACCACACGGGGCGACCTAGTGAATGACCTGCAGAGAGCTGGGACCAACGTAACAAAGGCGACCATCAGTAACACACTACGCCACCAGGGACTCAGATCCTGCAGTGCCAGACGTGTCCCCCTGCTTAAGCCAGTACATGTCCGGGCCCATCTGAAGTTTGCTAGAGAGCATTTGGATGATCCAGAAGAGGATTGGGAGAATGTCACATGGTCAGAAGAAACCAAAATAGAACAGTTTGGTAGAAACACAACTCGTCATGTTTGGAGGAGAGAGAATGCTGAGTTGCATCCAAAGAACACCATACCTACTGTGAAGCATGGGGGTGGCAACATCATGCTTTGGGGCTGTTTCTCCGCAAAGGGACCAGGCGACAGATCCATGTACAGGACAAAATGAATGGGGCCATGTATCGTGAGATTTTGAGTGCAAACCTCCTTCCATCAGCAAGGGCATTGTGGATGAAACGTGGCTGGGTCTTCCAACATGACAATGATCCCAAACATACCGCGCGGGCAACAAAGGAGTGGCTTCGTAAGAAGCATTTTAAGGTCCTGGAGTGGCCTAGCCAGTCTCCAGATCTCAACCCCATAGAAAACCTTTGGAGGGAGTTAAAAGTCTGTGTTGCCCAGTGACAGCCCCAAAACATCACTGCTCTAGAGGAGATCTGCATGGAGGATGGGCCAACATATCAGCAACAGTGTGTGCCAACCTTGTGAAGACTTACAGGAAATGTCTGACCTCTGTCATTGCCAACAAAGGATATATAACAAAGTATTGAGATGAACTTTTGATATTGACCAAATACTTATTTTCCACCATAATTTGCAAATAAATTCTTTCCAAATCAGCCAATGTGATTGTCTGGATTTTTTTTCTCATTTGAGGTCTACCTATGATGCCAATTACAGGCCTCTCTCATCTTTGTAAGTGGGAGAACTTGCACAATTGGTGGGGACTAAATACTTTTTTGCCCCACTGTATAATAACATGGAACTTTCCCTAATGAGGCTAACTGATGTAGAATTGTGCATAATATTTATGAAAACTTGGTTATTTGGTTATTTTATGTCCTTCAATGGTTGAATAACTGACGTGTCTTCTGTTTTTAAATGTGAACTTCCCTGAGCACAGTCCTTAAAGACCATAGGAGCATACACTGGGTAAAATGCATTGTGAAAGTATTTTAGAGTTTATCATATATGTTTTAATTTGAAAAACTAACTGTTATTTCTTACATCTGTTACAGATTTATGTCCCACTGGAATTAAACAACAAGAAACTGAACATGGGAACATTAAAGGTAAAAACTAGAATGGAACCATCCATCTGCAATCATTTTTTGAAAGATTCAATCCTCTCATGGATGAAATTGTTAATGAATGATGAAATAATTACATACTGTATATGGCAGTCATAACTCTTCCACTTTCATTTAAAGCCTACGTTTAGTTTTTTATACAAAGTGTACCCTGTGTTGGTGCTGGCTGTCATAGCTAAAATCCTCTGTTGTCTGTCCCTCCTTTATACTCTGAAGCCATAATCTTCTGATTCTGTGGAAGGTTAATAGAGCCCAGGGACTTCTTGCAGTCACTAAAGGAGTGCCGACTTTGCCCGCCCTTTCTACCCCCTCCTCCATTCAAAGAAAATGTACTACAGTTTCTATTTATGAAAAGTAATCTATGAATAGAGGAGGTGGAAATTTTCTTTCATTCTCTATTCAGTCCTCCAATCATAGAGCACTTTTCAGTCCACTTTTCATTAATGAAAGCTGTAGTACATGTTTTTAGATGGGAATTTATGTGTAGACAGGAAGAGATGAGAGGGAAAGAGGGGTGGGGTAAAAGAATGAAAGCGGAAAGATCAAGAGAGAGAGAGAGATCTATTGAACAAACTAAGTAGAAAAAAACAGCATATTTCCTGTATTTATATGTAGCACTACCCCTTAGGAGTTGCTAAAGATTTCGGTCCCCCTAGAGTCCTGCACAGCCAGACAATAAGCATTTCCTCAGACTTGCACTCCAGAGACAGTAAACAGTCCTTGAACTTGTTTTTTTTTTTTCCATTATATTAAAGGTAATAAACTTGGATGGGGTTGAAGGACACATGGGATGCTCAAGGAACTGTAAACAGAGGACTCCTTCCTGGTGACTATGTACAAGTCCAATATAGGATATTTCTCTTTTAGAAGAGCTCCCCAGCCTTTCCTGGTACCACCCCAGACCCCAGATGATCATTTTCTTATCCATCTTTACTGAGGGCTTTCCCTGAGCAAGGGGATCCAGTGGCTGCTACTGTAAAGGTTAGCAGTCTTGGGAATAGACCAAGTCAATTTCCCACCCAAATGCTCTTTCCCCTTGTCCGGCAGAAACAAGTCAAAGTTTGGTTGTTATTGGCTGTAGGTTTGGATTAAGCCAAAGCATAGTCAAGGAACATGCCAAAGGCTAGCAACAAATGGTAGCAAAGATACCTATGACAAAAGGAGTCTCAAGAGGAGATATAGGCTGGAGAGAGCACAAAATTCTGGCAAACAAGAAGTACAGAGATTTGGCTTACATCAGGAAGTTCTTGGGATGAGCTTCAAAGTTCATGAAAGACAAAACAAGATTGTCTAACTCAGGAATGTCCTACCTACATCTCGCAGGCCGCATGCAGCCCAATGGGGCTCTGCATGCGCCCCAACAGGAAATTGTAAACAGAAAGTCCGGAGGAATGTCAGGTAGGCTATGTCTGGTACAGCACACATGCCATGGTCAGCACAGACAAGCAGGGCCCAGGCACATCAGGAGGGATGCTGGGAATGCCATGTTTGCTATAATACCGGCAGCACACAGGAGGGATTTTTGTCAAGTAAGTGTCACATGTGGGTGCTGGGGGGAATGGGGTGGGCTCCATCCCCCCAGATTTCATGAAAATACTGACATAAGTGGAGTGTCATTGATCAATGGTCCATTGAAATTGCATTATGGGAGGGCATCATCCATATGTGAAAACAATGGGACTTTAATTATGCCTCCAGTATTGAAAATGGCAGATGCTTAAAATGACTTATGTTGTTTTATTAATACAAAAAATGTATTAGTCCTTTGGCCTTTTTATGACATTTTTTTTGTATGAATAAAAGAGCATAAGTCATTTTAATCAGCTGTCATTTTCAATACTGGAGGCATAATTAAAGTCCTATTGGTCTTTGTTGTCACATATGGATGATGCCTCCCATAGCGTAATTTCAATGGATCGTTTATCTCAACACTCCACCAATCTGAGTATTTGTTACAGTGTCAAATATCGCACTCATTTTATGTTGCCCTCTTTTACTTTTATAGTGATCTGCCCAACTTTTTCTGCTCATCGGCTATCCTTATTGTTAGTTTATTTTAAATGCGGCCCAATACAATTCTTCTACTTCCAGTGCAGCCCTGGAAAGTCAAAAAGTTGGACATCCCTGGTTTGACAGATCCAATGGGTGCTGTCCAGCATCTCCAGTGGCTCAGCAAAAAGTGTTACTGTCAGACACAGTAGAGGTCTCAGGTGCAGATCCAGGCCCTGAAACTGGGGCCTTCAAAAGCAGAGGTCAGAAATTGTATCCTAGACTCATGCAATTGCAGTGTAACTTTCCTTTACGTTAAAAGTATTGTGGGAGAAAACAACACAATACTTGGCTTAGCCACACAATAATATGGATATGATCCCAGAACACAAGATCCTAGACAGTGGGATCCACTTTCTTATTTAACAACCAGCTAAAACCTTCTGGCATCTATTACTCTTATTTTAATGTAGTTTTGTTTTAATCTAGTTAAAGTGTTATTAAACCCATGACCCCGCATTCACTATATCCGCTCTCCCTGGACCCTGCATTTACTATATCCGCTCTCCCCCCGGACCCCGCATTCACTATATCCGCTCTCCCCGGACCCCGCATTCACTATATCCGCTCTCCCCGGACCCCGCATTCACTATATCCGCTCTCCCCGGACCCCGCATTCACTATATCCGCACTCCCTGGACCCCGCATTCACTATATCCGCACTCCCTGGACCCTGCATTCACTATATCCACTCTCCCCAGACCCCGCATTCACTATATCCGCTCTCCCTGGACCCCTCATTTACTATATCTGGTCCCCTGGATTCTGCATTCACTATATCCGCTCTCCCCGGACCCCGCATTCGCTATATCCGCTCTTCCCGGACCCTGCATTCACTATATCCACTCTCCACGGATCCTGCATTCACTATATCCGCTCTCCCCAGACCCTGCATTCACTATATCTGGTCTGCCCGGACCCGGCATTCACTATATCCACTCTCCCCGGACCCCGCATTCACTATATCCGCTCTCCCCAGACCCCGCATTCACTATATCTGCTCTCCCCGGACCCCGCATTCACTATATCCGCTCTCCCTGGACCCCTCATTTACTATATCTGGTCCCCTGGATTCTGCATTCACTATATCCGCTCTCCCCAGGACCCCGCATTCGCTATATCCGCTCTCCCCGGACCCTGCATTCGCTAAATCTGCTCTCCCCGGACCCCACATTCACTCTATCGGGTCTCTCAGGACCCTGCATTCACTGTATCCACACTCCCCAGACCCCTCATTCACTATATCTGGTCTCCCCGGACCCTGCATTCACTATATCGGGTCTTCCAAGACCCTGCATTCACCATATCTGCTCTCCCCGGACCCTGCATTCACTATATCCGCTGTCCCTGGACCCCGCATTCACTATATCCTCTCTCCCCCGGACCCCACATTCACTATATCCGCTCTCCCTGGACCCCGCATTCACCATATCCTCTCTCCCCGGACCCCGCATTCACTATATCTGCTCTCCCCGGACCCTGCATTCACTATATCCGGTCTCCCCGACCCTGCATTCACTATATCCGCTCTCCCCGGACCCTGCATTCACTATATCCGCTTTCCCCGGACCCTGCATTCACTATATCCACTCTCCCCGGACCCCGCATTCACTATATCTGCTCTCCTCGGACCCCGCATTTACTATATCTGCTCTCCCCGGACCCCACATTCACCATATCTGCTCTCCCCGGACCCCACATTCACTATATCTGCTCTCCCACAGTACACAGAACATGGAAATACAATTATTTAAGTAAATACAAACTGCTAAATCCCTTTTCTCATCAGCAGTATACAGCAGTCCTGTGACTTCTACCAGTGTCCAGCAGAACACTGGTTTATGCTTGTAGGAGGAGTATTTTCTAGGAGGATATAGAACCCCTGACCTCTGTTTGGACAGTTCTGATTGGCTCTGTGTTGATCACATGCACCCCCCCCCCAAAAAAAAAAACCTCTCTAGCAATACCCACCAAACTGAGCATGTGCAATGTCTCCACACAATATGTCTTATCAGGAGATAAGAGGGGGACACTGGAAGAAGGGGAGGATCAGAGATGACAGGATCCAACAGTGTTTTACACAATGTGGAGGATTAACCCCTACACAGTGAGTATAACAAGCATGCTTTACTGCATCTACAGACTGATTGTACTGTTGTGGGTTTAGTAACACTTTAAGAATATTTTATCAGTTATATCATGTATTAATGCACTCACACATTCTCAAGTAATTTCTGGTACTGCTTTTCATGACTCTCTCTTGCTTCCATTTTTCAGATCTTTTATACGATGTCCGAATGATCAGCAGTGAAAGCTGCAGTACACCAGCTCCTAAGACTGAGTTTCAATATCTCAAGAGACTAATGGCCTTGGATGTAATGGCTAGGAGTAAAAATCCTGTTGAAATGGACTTGCAATCAGCAGTAGGCACTGATTTTGAGAATGATGGCAATGAGTTATTTCATGCTTTAAATCCTCTTGATACTCTGTGTGGCATTTTAAATAACTTTTGTAAAAGTTACATTTCACAGCAGATAATTACAACAAAAATGGCCATGTGTCAGTTTGCCATCCCTCTGTTGCTCCCTGCTGGTGATGGGCCACTCTGGACCTTCATGCTGTGGGCAATGAGGGACATCGTAAAGCGGTGGAGACCTCAGTTATTAGCAGATACAAAAGGATTTATAGAGGACAACCTGGTAAATATTTCTATGCCTTTCTTCTCTTTTATCGGATTGGGTTCATGTGGCTTGTCAAAGTCTAAAATTCTCAATCAGGTTCTTAGTCCCACCCAACAGATTCAAAACTTCTTTGTACACAGAGATATGGATGGTGGGAGCATAACAAAGAGGAATTCAGACGGACTGGTGGAGATAAGCTGGTACTTTCCATCTGGGCAGGAATCTACAGATGTTTTCAATGAACCCATAGCAGTCACCAATCTTCGGGGAAAACTGGAATCTCACAAACAACAGTTCCAGTTCTTGTTATCCATATCAACAGCCATTTTCATATTTGTTGAGAACATAAATGAAGAACAATATAAACTGCTTTCTGGCTTATCAGAAAAAAGAGACACACAATACTTCTTTATTATTAATGTAAGAGATGTAAAACCAGGAGAAGACACACTGAGATTCCTAGGCAAGTTATCAGAAGATCTAAAACTGAAGAAAATGAACGTGATCATTAAAAATAAAAATATGAATGACTCACAGGTTGTACTGAAACTGCAGTCAACAGTGAAAGCTTTGCTTACAAACAACACAAAGATTTTAAGTTTGCATGAAATTGCGGACAGTCTGATTAGCAGCAAAGTTCAGGCGTATGAAAACCAAATTTCAGTGGATGAGGACTCTTCCTTGAATAAATCAGCAAAAACAAAAGCTACGAATATTACAGATAAGATTAAGGATATAGCACAATTTAAGAAGGAGACAATGAAACTACAAGGAGACCTCTGGGGGCAACTGACCAAAGCAGAGAAGGAATTGTGCAGAATGAGAGAACTCGGTGATAAAGATCCAGAGGAATATAAATTGCAGCTCCAAAAAGAAATACATCATCTTCGAAGGGAGCAAAGTTACCAAAAAATTCCTCCAATCTTTCAAATGTTTATAGAAGCAATGACAAAGCCATCTCCTACAGAGAAACAGCTTTTCATGAAATGGCTGGCAATTCATCTTGACAAAGCTGGAAGAAATAATCTTTCAATGTTGCAAGCGGAGTACAAAAAAATATTCACGGATTTATCTAAAAAAATGCAAGTGAGCTAAAAAACATAGACCAAAGGATAGCCAATAGCAGTTTAGGCACTGAGCACTTCATGCGTGAGCTGGGGCAGTTTTATGAAGCAGCAAAGTTCTTGAAAGAAAGAGGTGAATACACAGATGATATATATAGAGACCTTCCCAAAATAGCTTCAGATATGCTATTTGACGGGTTTCCATTAGAGCTGATAGATGGAGATGCTTCTAACATTCCCTTGCTTTGGATAACTGATGTTCTAAAAGAACTAGATATTAGGACAGGAGGGCAAAGTAGAATAAGAGTGATAACTGTCCTGGGAGTGCAGAGTACGGGGAAATCAACCCTTCTAAACACCATGTTTGGTTTGGAGCTTCCAGTGGCCAGTGGGCGATGTACAAGGGGAGCCTTCATGACCCTTCTGAATGTAGACAGGGATTTCCAAGAGATTCTGGGCTGTCAGTTCATCTTGGTTATTGACACAGAGGGGCTCAAGTCTATGGAACTGGCTTCCCTTGATGGCAGCTATGAACACGATAATGAGATTGCAACAGTGGTGGTGGGGTTGAGCGACATCACCATCATCAATATGGCCATGGAAAATACAGAAGAGATGAAAGACATTTTGCAAATTGTAGTTCATGCATTTCTGAGGATGAAGGAAGTAGGAAAGAAACCAAGCTGCCATTTTGTACACCAGAATGTGAGTGATGTGTCCGCTCATGTGAAAAATCAAATAGCCCGACAGAAATTTCTTGAACAGCTTAATGAACTGACTAAAATTGCAGCAAAAATGGAGAAACGAACTGGTATAGCTAGCTTTTCTGACATTATTTACTGTGACTTAGAAAAACACTCTTGGTACATCCCTGGTCTGTGGCATGGCATACCCCCTATGGCTTCAATAAACATAGGTTACAGTGAGAATATAAAAGATTTAAAAATATCAATAATTGAATCTCTAAAATCAATGCCTGGAAAACCACAAACAATCACACAGAGTTCGCTGAATGGTTAAAAAGCTTGTGGAATGCTGTGAAACATGAGAAATTTGTGTTCAGCTTCAGAAATCGATTGGTGACCGAAGCCTACAACCAGCTCTGCATAGAGTACTCAGACTGGGAATGGAGATTCCAGAAAAATGCTCATCATTGGATGATAAAAACTGAGACTTTAATCTATAATCTACCATCTGATAAACTTGGGGGAGAAACCTGGAACCAAATAATAGATGACATGTATCAGCTGTTGGATATGGGAGGAAAAAATCATGTCATGCTCACTTACAAATTACTTTGAACATGGCTGTGACAAGGCTCATCTCTTGGACATGTTCAGAGGAGACTTTTTCAGGAGTGTGAACTACCTTAGAAAAGAGCTAGAAAATACTCTGATTGCCAAGTGTGAGAAAACAATGCACATCCAAAGAGAAAAATGTGAAACACAAGTTTTGCAAGCGCAATATATCAATACAATTGAGGCCATAGTAGCAGAAATAATGGAAAAAAAAAACAAAGGAACAAAAATATTAGACCCGAGGAACTAAATAGAGAATTTGAGGTGATGTGGAAAAGTACTTTAGATAAATTACAGATAAGTAAACTGGATACACAGAATATTGAACAAATCATCATTCAGCAGCTGAAACATGATATGAAAAATGATGGCCATGCTCTCAAAAAGCTGCGTGATCTCAAAAGCCTTGATGAATATAAAAAGAAGTTTGTGGTTAATCAAAAGCACCATTTCAGCAAAACTAGAAAAGAGCTGAATCTCATACATGGTCTGACTTCCTCTTTACTCCATGAATGCAATCATTATGTCTCTAATTGTACTAAAACCAGAGAAAACTTCAATGAAATGTTGTCTCAAGAAGTGCTAAAAATCACAAATAGAAGTTGAACAGCCAAGATGTTAAGCATGTCAGTATTACCAAAGAATTCAAATTGGATCTAAAGCTTCACATTTTAGGAAGTGCTGCTCCCAAATTTCAGAAGATGCACAATGACTTTGTCCAAAGAAATGACCCCAGAAGCTGTTTAGAGATGCTGAAACCTGAATACTTTTCTATTTTCCAAAGTATGTTTGAGAAAAGAAATGAATGTCAACGACGAGCCGAACAATTTTGTGAACTGTGTTTGAAGCCGGCAATTATTGATCACATCAACAGACATCTAGGAAAGAAGCTAGTGGAAACGATTTTGCAGAAAGGAGGGCCATTGGAATTCAAGAGTCATACTGTATTTCAGAATGTGTTGCTGGAAGAGTTACTGCAAAATAAATCATGTGAACAATACATAAATTACATCAATGATTATGAACATTTTGTTGAAGAATGGATTTCCCAATACATTCTTAAACATTATAATGAACAAAGATATGTTCAAAATTTGCAATTAGGCATCTTACAATCACTGACTGAGACAATATTTCTGGCTCTGAAGAACTTAGGTACTGTTCAAGTCAGTAATGTGTCAACGTTTTTTTGCCAAATTTTGCAATATTTTGAAAGAAGATCTGGTAATTTCTCAGAATAATTTAAAGGTTGTCTCTTTCCAAAGTGAAGTGGATGTAGGAAAGTTCATTAATGACATTGAGGCATATCTTCCAGACTTACTGAAAGAACTACAAATGCAAATTAGCTCAGCAACTAACAATTCTGTACTTTCACAGCTGAATTTGAAGCCTCAGGAGGAACTGGTCAAGAAGGTGATTGGATGTGGCAAGCAGTGTCCCTTCTGTAAAGCCCCCTGTGAGGCCGGAGGGGCTGACCACAAAGAGCATTTTGCCTCAATACATCGACCAAGAGGATTAGCCCAACACAAAGATGAGCAGACAGGGGCTCTGGACCATTCAATATGTTCTACAAATGTCATCT